TTTCAAGCCCCAAATGGAAGCACTCTGAACGATGTTCCTCCTTGACTCCTAAAGCAGTTGAGGAAACTCTGAGGACTGCCACAGGGAAAGACCACAGCCTGTGCCAGCAGAATCTTGTGCCTTAAAAGCGCAAAACCCACACTTCTACAGAACGCCTCACCCATGGAAATAGGGCCTGTGCGGGCAAGCTACCAATCTCTGGCCTCTGCACACACATGCATGAGCGTGTGCCTGCACACTCACATACATACACACATCACATACGTTAAACATACTTCCCCACACAAAATGAATACATGAATATCATTTTTAAATGCCCTTTGAATGCTTCATATAAATGTATGTGCTGAAGATGCCCAAAATGAGAGTCCCTTGTCTAAAATTAAACACCACACAGCAATGCAAATAAATACCCCTTAGTTTTGACAAAAAGAAAAACTTTAAGTAGGATTCAGAAATTCAATTTATAATTTCTTTGGAAGTAACATATATGCATCCTTTTAGTTTTTAGTTTGTTTGCTTAACTTTTCTGGGTCCTATTTTATATTTTGGCAAGAAAAAAACAGAGAAGGGAGTGGAGGAGAGAAAGAGGGAGACAGGGGAAAGGCAGAGATGGGAGGGGAGGCTGATTCTGCCATCCCATGTATAGTATAAAGAACATAAATGAACTTTATAATAGATACATGAACCTTCATAATAGACACACTGGCTGCAGTTGCAACATCACGTAGAATGCACTCACCCTTAATCATGAGAGGTAAATTATGGAAGCAACCTTTACCAACACTGACAACGCTAAGACTCTGAACATGACTAACAGACAGACCCTAGCTGGGGTCAGTCTGGCTGGTCCTGAATTGGCTTGAAATGACCACATCATGTTTGCTTTACTTTGTGACTTTGGCTCAGTGAGCTTTTTTTGTTTTGAGATTTCATTTTTTTTATTTTATATAAATGAGTGTTTTGCCTTCATTTATGTATGTACATGTACCACACGCATGTCTGGTGCCCTCAGAGCCAGAAGAGGGAGGTGGATCCCTGGAAATTGGGCTCTATAGATGGCTGTGAGCCACCATGCGGACGCTGGGACTCAAACTGGATCCCTTGCAAACGCAGCCAGTATTCCAGGACACTGAGCTGTCTCCAGGTCCACATTTGTAACGTCCTACTTTATTGATTAACAAGATATTTACACAGTGTGCACTCAATAGAGCCTGGACACGGTACTCGTCAATCTTGACGGCATTTGCGTTTCTTGAGGAACTGACAATGAACAGAAGCTGCTGTAGTGTGAGAAGCACACTAATGCTCTAAAAGAAAGACGGGTGAGATCTTGAGAGAACGCAGCCGCCCAGGCAGTGCTAGAGAAAGCATTCTAGAAAGAAGTGACAATGTCGAGGTTAGGAATCGGGGTGGGATTTAATCCTTGCTGCCCTAACTCGGGAATCTTGAGGAAATGTCATGCTCAACACGACAGCATTTCTCTGAACATTCAGATCAACACTCATGGTGTTTTTGTGCTGGGACTTTTTTCTAGGGGGTGTGTGTGTGTATGTGTGTGTGTGTGTGAGGAATCCAGATACTGGCTAACTGGACTGTTCTAAACGGATACCGCAGAGCTCTGAAAATGTGGCCCAGACCCTGCCAGCAGGGGAAGGTACAACGGTAGAATCACCACTGTGGAAATGAACTGTGCACTTACTTCCCTACCCTCCAGTTTTGAAAGTGCTGGCAAAATTCATTATGAAGAACTGAGAGCCCCGGAAAGGCAGGAGTTTCTTAGATGATTACTATTTCAGATTTATTTCCAGAACACATTAATTTGTTTCCCTTTTCATTTCAATCCACAGCGTGGCAAACATCTGCTAAAAATACCTGTTGTCTCCATCTGTAAACATGCCAGCCAGCTGAACAAGACTCCTTCTATCGAGGCCTCCTATTCAAGAGCAAATAGAATAATCTGGGTAGGGTCACCAAATCTAAAATTAAGTCTAAGACCAGATTCACTGGATCCACCTAAGATAGCATTTGAACCAAGCCTGCATTATTCCTCTCTTCAGAGAAATGGCTTCTTCCTGGATCCCAGGTTTCCACAATGGTACCGAGGCCTTCCTGCCTGCATCCCTCTCAGCAGTCCGTCTGGTCTGATGCTAGGTAGTACATATTAATATCCCGTCCACATTAAACCTGCTCTACTCCAAGCACACTGCTTAGTGATCTGCAGAGGGCAGCTCTGCCCAGCTATTTCCTTTTAATGAAGCGTCCAGAGCCCCTCAGTACACTAAAGGCATCCTCATGGCTTGCCTCAGGAAAGCCATCTCTTACAACTGAGTTCTCAAAGCTGTGTTCCCTCACTACACAAACAGATCTGCAGAAGAATCATGACGTTTAACATAAATATTTTATAACAAATCACAGGACATCAAAAAGTTTGTCAACAGGCTTTTTGTTTGTTTGTTTGTTTTTGCTAATATCACATTGAAGAAAAGTAGTTTGGCTCTTTAGTACCATGATTTAAAAAATGTTAATTGTAGTGGTTAAGAGGACTTGATGCTCTTTCAGAGGACGCAGGTTCGATTCCCAGCACTTACATGGTGGATCACAATCTTGTATAATTCCAGTCTCAGGGGATCCAATGCTCTCGTCTACCTCCTCAAGCACCGAGTGGTGCACAGGCACACATGTAAGCAAAACACGCATACACTTAAAATAAATAAATAATTTTAAAAAAATTAAATTGGACCTAGCACAACTTTTGACCTCCTGACTAAAGGGTACAAATGCAAATTAGGTATTGCTTTATGAAGCTCTTAAAGCAGACTGGTCATCAACGTGAAGCATTTTCTTAAAAGTTTTATATTTCGGATATAAAACTATGCAACATTCACCAACATAATAAAACCACTCAAAGGTTTATACGACACCACCCTCCCTGTGTGCCTGCTTTCTTTACTCCGAACTAAGGCTTTGGGTAGGTCAGGCAAGCACTCAACCGCTGAGCTCTGTTCTCAACTGTCATTTTTTCTTTCATGCTGACATGGTGTTTCACTAAGTTCCCCAGACTAGACTCAAACCCACGCTGTAGCCCATGCACAGCGGACCTCGTCATCTTTGCTTCTCTCTCTCCCAGGCGTCTGGGATTACAGGCCTGATACCAGGCCCAGCTTACACTTACCATTCTATAGGGTTTCTAAAAGGGATGAAAATCAATTGAAATTACCTAACTGAATGAGGAAGGTATATTCTTTGAGTGCCATTTGCTATAAATCCCAAGAGTCAAAGACAACTGAGTCAATAATGAAAAAAAAAAATCAAACAATGTAGACCATTGATTCAAATACTAATTCATAAACGTCTCTTTCTTACATGAATAAAGTAGATTTGATAATAGGTATTGACCCAATTACAGAAGAGCATAGGTCGAGACTATCTATCATCATAAAGCATGAACACATTCTCAGCACAAATTTATTATGCTATTATCCTTCCACGATTTAAAGGAAGTATTTGCTTTTCCAAATTTTGGTTGATTTCAAAAATAAATTTGTATCACTAGAATTGGGGTGCACCTGGAAGTCCCCGAAATCATGGTAGTATCATAATATGATTGCTCGCAAAAAAAAAAAAAAAAAAAAAAAGATACCAGCCAATGAGATGGCTCGGAGTACAATCTCTGGGACCCACATAGTGGAAGGAGAGAACCAATAACTTAAAGTTGGTTCCTAACCTCCACAGGCGTATAGGTGTGCGTGCATGCACAGGCATGCACACACATGTAATATGCACACACACAGATGGAGTAAAAGTTTAAAAAAGATAGAGCCTCTTGTGACTAACAGAGACAGCTCAGCATCTCTAAGCATGCCATCACATGAACATTTGTGAGGTATTTTCAGAAACACTCAGGATTCATTCTGCCGGTTCCCTCCATAAACAAGGCTCTTGACCTTTACGGCGCCTCAGCCAGGCGAAGGGTGCAGTTCAAATTCGAGCGAACGGTATTTTAAAATGTTTCCACCGTTTGCTTGGTAAACACAAAACGCGGGATGGCAAAGCCTCTCTGAGGGTCCTGGTCCCGATTATGAGCTGAAATCTATAGGGCCGCATTTTTCACATGCATGGCACTCTTCCAAACCACGGGAGGATGGAAAACATCAGTGCTGAGATCCAAAGTTTGCTGTGGTTTTCAAAGCAATCATTTTCCTTTTTTCAACATGCCACTGTAAGTCTCTTGCATTTCAGTAATAAATATTAAACATTACTTTCCTATTGGGGTTCATCTTTGAGAAAAGTATTACAGCCAGTCCAGAGGGAAACACTTTTTTTTTTTTTTTTTGGTCATTTGGAGGAGACCACACGCTTCAGTTGTTTACCAAGGCTGGTGCCCCTTATTTTAACAAGGAGGGAAAAAAGTCTAATGCCCAACAATCATGTTTAATATATCTGTAGGCTGGAATTCGGTTACAGTGGCCTTCAAAGAGTCCTTTCATTAAGTTTTCGTGAAACTTAAAAAAATTTTAAAATCTGCGGGAGGCTAGACAGAACATTCCGGCTACACACTGTAACCTGACACTAGGCTGAAGATTGACCAAGTTTAAGTAACCCAAGAGGAACTGTTTCCTGCTTTCGGTTAGAACAGCCGACAATGACCTGTAGTAACACTGCCGAGGCGGGGTTACTAGCGGGCATTAGACATTGCTGTCAGGAAGTCAGTGTGTGTGTGTGTGTGTGTGTGTGTGTGTGTGAGAGTGGTGTGTAGGGTGGGGGGGTTCTTTTTGTTTGTAAGAAGTCAACCCTGCTCTCCCATCAATATTACAGAGACCAGAAAAACTAAAACAAGAGTTGGAAAACCCAGGCCAACTTGCAAAACAAATTTAAGTTTTTCCTGAACTTCCTGTGCAGAAGTCAAACTTGCCCGGGGAGCATCTCTGGGAGGGCACAACAGCCTTCTAGGGAATCAGAAGTGTACTTGACATTGGTTTCTTTCCGCCTCACTTTACCTTGTCTGCTCCTGTAAGATGAGATGGGGTTCCACAAAGAACTTGACTCTCAGTTTGAGCCGGTAAGGTGCCAGCCCGTCCATCTGCTGGGAGATCCGGTTTCTCAGATTCAGCCATAAGCTTTCACCTTTGCTGCCGGTGAACTGCAGTCCAAAATAATCAACTTCTATGATGCCCAACCGCCTGCACACCTAAAAACAAAAACAAAGGCAGCGGGTATAAGCAATGCAAAGTCAAGGGCTCCATCTGAGTGAAGGGCAGCCACCTACTCTGACCTTGTTATAATTCCAGTGGTAGAATGGGAAAATAATTTTTTAAGGAACCAGCGATGCCCAAACCAAAGGAAGCTCGGCCTTGCTTCTAGGGTATGGCCAATTGCACAGGGAAAGGAACCCCAAAAACAGACTTCCCAAAAGGCTGAGAAGGAAGAACCCAGGGGGCTTTTATTTCTTGCTCCAGTCGCTGGAATTCCCTCTGCCAGCACCATCTGCACAGCTGATCTGGCAGCGTACTATCTGGACAGTTTTAACCATCTGGATTCCAAAAACAAAAACACATTGAGGAAGCATGCCACAAGTGTCAGCTAAGCTTCACAAGTGGCTTTCCAATCAGCTCAGGTCTACAGGTCCCGAAGACACAGTGTTTCAAGGGGTTCAATGCGTCTTCCATACCCACCAAGTAAATACTGCTCCGAGCCTTAGTCACGCTAAAGAACGCACGTGTAAAGACTCCAAGCGGGAGACTGCCAGAACCATTCCCCGCAAATTACCCAGGATACTCTGGATCCCCAGCAAGCCCAAGTGTGAGGTGAACTCTCCTTCGGAGAAGCGGCTTGAGACATGGACCCACCTGGTCAGCTAGGGAACCCCGGGGACCGCGACTGTCTGCAGCCACCTCATCTCCCCCCCCCCCCCCACCGGGACGCGGGTGGCGCTGCTGGGCTTTAAAAAGGCCCCCCACGGGCGGCATCACGCACACACCTGCGGCAGGTGTGCCGGGCAACCTTCTTTAGAAAAAAGTGCCATGGTAGGAGACAGGGTTGCAGCGCCCGGCAGTGTCCTGGTTTTCAGGCCCGGGATGCCCCCACAGACAAGTCCTCTACGCCCCCCATCCCCGCCGCCCGCGGGGAGGAGAAGGCTGGAGCCTGGCGTCCGGGACGCGCGCTCCACGGGCCGCTGCTGCAACATCGCCAGGCTCCTGAGGATCATCCCCGAGGCCCCAGGCTTCCCGAGGACAAGTGGGAACCCCCTTTCTAAGCGTCGCCCTCACCTGGTTGAGACAGTCCTCGCCGTTGGCTTTTGCCTCCACCTCCACTTCCATCAGCACTGCGTCCGGCCTCGTCACATAGCACAGCATGGCTGGGGCCGCCGCCACCGCCGCCACGGCCGTTTCTTCTCGGGTGTTCGCCGGGGCTGTCGCCTCACTGCAGTCGCTCTAAGTCAGCACCGGGCTCCGCGAAGAAGGTGAAGCGGTGCGGCCGCCTGCCCTGCACCCCACGCAGCCGCTGCTCGCGTCCCCGCCACCCCCCCTGATCGCCAGTTTCTGGGTGCTCCACGGCCGCGCCGCTCGGACAGCCCGACTGCTTGAGCCGAGAAAGGCACGCGTCTTTTATAGAGGCCCCGCCCCCTCCGGTGCCGGCCTCCACCAATCACGACGCACTTACCCCTCCTCCTCAGTCCCGTCAGCCAATACGCAGCTCCGATAGTCTTCAGCCCCGCCTTCCGGCAACGCCTGTAGAGCTGCGGGTGGTGGGAACCCCTACCCCCATCCCTGCACGCTCACTGCCTCTGCCGCTGGGCGACGCTCCTCCTAGCCCGCTGTCGCCAGCAGCTTCAAGGGACTCCTCTCCGTCCCGGCTCAAGAGGACCCCGATCAAACGCTGCCGCGATGCCACTGTTCTCTAGACTCCCACTCCAATAACCAGATGGTCTGTGAGAGCCAAGAGGGAAGCCGGCAACCTGGAGCCTAAAGTTAAGGTTTTCCGCCAAGGGTTGTAAAACGCACAATTTGAGCAGAAAAGTTTTTGCAATTGACCAATAATAAGCTGGGTAGCTTGATCTGAAAGCACCATCCTTATATTAACGCGTGCCAAGGGTTTTTAATGCATGGGTTCTGCTAAACCGAAACACCTAACAGAGTGTTGGAGCCTGTTACCCATCATATCTAGCATCAAATTCACTCACTATACACCTGATACTTTGTCTTTTCTCTGGGACAGCCAGATGTTAATCCATCTTAAAGTCAGGGGCTCATCTTATTATCTAGCAGGAGGGTTTGGTCTCAGTAGACGAGATTTCTGGTTAAAGGTCATGTCTTCACTACCTGTTTCTCTTAGCCTATACAATTACTTTGTCTGCCTTTTTGATTTCTAACAGTGGTTCTCAGTTTGTGGAGCACAACCAGTTGGGGGGTCACGCAAGCCTTTCACAGGGGTCACCCAAGACCATCAGAAAACACAGATATTTACATTATGATTCGTAACAGTAGCGAAATTGCAGTTCTAAAGTAGCAATGAACATAAGTGGATAGTTGGGGGTCACCACAGCACAAGGTTGAGAACCACTGGTTTATAAGATAAGCCAGGAGATGTGGGTTTCAGTCTCGGATCCTTGGCGAGCTTCAGCTCTCTGAAGCTTGGTATCCTCACAGTAAAGCGGAGACTGGATGTTTGTTGGATCTTCCTTTTGCATCCCTGTGGAGCAATTGAGCCATCCCGGCCAGCCCATATCTGCATCTCTGTCCCAATGGTCATTTGTTTGCTGTGTATTTAAGATAACATCTTGCTATATAGCTCAGGCTGGCGGGGCATCTCACACTTGGGCTGAGTTATATTTACTTTTGAGATGTGGTAAGTATCATAGAAGAAGGGATGAATCTTAACACAGCCTTGGTTTAGACCAATTAGGGACAAACTTATTCTGGCAAAGTGGTACTGCTTGCATCCATTCATCTGTCCATCCATCCATCCATCCATCCATCCATCCCTTCATTCTGCTGGACATTCCCTTCATTACACCCTCAGTCAAGATCTTATCATTTTTAAAGCAAGTAACACCATACAAGGGCAGGTGAAATGTCTCTGTAGGTAAAGGCACCTGCCACCAAGCCTGCTGACCTGAATTTGATTCCATGACACATAGTGGAAGGAGAGAACCAACTCCCACAGGTTGTCCTTTGGCCTTTGCATGTTGCACATATGAATACTAAGTAAGATAACATTGTTTTAAAGGAATCACCAGATAAGACTGAAGGAAAGAAGTGGCTTCAACAAAAACAACGGTAAAAGGCTGGAATTGTAGCTCAACTGATAGAGTGCTTGCCTCACTTGTACAGAGCTTTCTTAGATTTAACCGCTAACACTACAAACTGCAGGAAGGCAACAGTGTGCCACCAGGCCAGCAATCCCAGCAGAACTCGTGAGGCAGACGTAGAAGAATCAGAAGCTCAAGGTTATTGTAGGTGAGGTCGGGAGTTTGAGGACAGCCTTGACTGTATGCAATCAACCAGTCAGTCAAACCGTGGACTGAGTGTGGCTGCGCACGTGTGCACAGGGCTGGAATCCCGGCACTTAGAAGGCTGAGAAAAGTAGATCCTGAGTGTGAAGCCAGCCTGGGCTACACAGTCGGACTCTGTCTAGAAAACCGAAACCCAAACAAGTGTATGAAGTGCTTGCTGCGGAAGCCAGAGGACCTAAATTCGGGTCTCTAGCACCACGTGAAGAGCAGGGCATGGGAGCATGGGCTTGCAGACCCAGTCAGTGTTGGGAGGAGCAGAGGGGAGGATTCCAGGGCTCACTGATCAGAAAGTCTAGCCAATCAGTGAGCTCCAGGTTTAGTAAGAGAGTCTACTAATCAGAACATAAAAATAAGATGTTTAAGCCGGGCGATGGTGGCGCACGCCTTTAATCCCAGCACTCGGGAGGCAGAGGCAGGCGGATCTCTGTGAGTTCGAGACCAGCCTGGTCTACAGAGCTAGTTCCAGGACAGGCTCCAAAGCCACAGAGAAACCCTGTCTCGAAAAACCAAAAAAAAAAAAAAAAAAGATGTTTAAAATGGAGGAGAGTGATTTAGATACCTACTGTCAACCCCTGGTCTCTGCATGTGAACAGGAACATGGAAAACACACACAGAAAACCGACCAACCAAATAGGCAAACACCCACCCTCCCAAAGCCAGTAAAAACAGGGGGCACAATAAGGGAAGAAAAGAATCCAGGCTTCTCCTGGTGTGCACGCAGTAGGAGGCTGTGCCCTCTCTCTTCCCTCCTGCCGGTTCTTCCTTGTGATAAGATAGAGATAAGATTAAGAAGTGGGGAAGCCGAGTGAGAAAGCACACTGTGTTTAAAAGACTCGGTTAGGGAATAGAAAAGCCACAGTAGAATCGCTTCCTGGAAGATTCCACCATCTGCTGATGCTGCTGAGCGTCTGGAGCCAGTTTCAAGCCCCAGCTGAGTCTAGCTCCAAAATAAGAGACTCTGGATTTCCAGGGCTGGAGGTGGGAAGTAGATCAGACTGAGCTGTGCTGAAACCAGGGAGACACCCCATGCTCCTATCTGCTTGTCTTTGCTCTCAAGTAGGGCATACTTGTTCCTGCCAGTAATTCCTAGTGCTCAGAAGCCCGAGGCAGGGAGGCAGTCATAAATTTGAGGCCAATATGGACTCCAAATTGAGTTCTGTCCAGCCTGGGCTACAGAGTTAGACCCTGCTCCCCACCCCAAACCAAAATAATAAAGGTTTACACTTAGCTAGCACAGTAAAAAGATTGCCTATATGAATGTAGATTTTTTTAAAAACAAAAACTCTATCAGCGTGGTAGAACTAGTTAACTCAGTACAGTCCTGCCTGTTCCAACAGACCTAAACATAGGGTTTTTTTTTTCCCTCTCTGTCCCATAGACTAGATCACATGACTAATAATACATGTAGGTTGTAGTGTGATAGTTATCGCCATACGAATTCTCCCTTTTGAGCAAGTGGTCTTCTCAACGCAGCTGGGTACCTGGTTTTGCTCACTATACTCTCATCGTTGCCTGTCTGCCTGCAGGAGTCCTGCACTGGGTCACGGGAGAGGCCCTGGGGAGGAGAAGAGGCTCCATCACCTGCCGCCCTCTCTTGCTCTCCATCCACATTCATTTGTAAGATCATCAGAGGAGGAAGAGGCAGCCACTGCCTCAAAAGCTGTCCTTCTGCGTTCACAAATTATCCAAACTAATTATTCACACAGGCAACGCTTCCTCCGGCAGACGTGTGTTAGAACAAGTTGAGTGAGCTGCAATCGCGAAGTTAAAATATTAGCCTCATGAAATTCGGTAGTTTAATTTGATCTCTGCCTCCTATCAAAGCACAGCATCTCATCTCCTGAACTGGCTTCAAGGAGGAAGGGGGCAGAGGAAGAATCCCTGTATTAAAAACTGGGGGATCTGAAGTGGCATTGTCTTAATTGGATAGCTGTCGAAATGGTTTTCTTTTTTCTTCTTTCTACTTACTAAGATAGTTACCTTTCATGACGGGTTCCTTGAAAAAGAACAGTACACAGAGAAAAATGAAGTGGCCGTCATTTTATCAGGACCTTTCTGTTTGGACTTGAGGCTTTGATGTTGCAGTTGGCTATGTTGTGTTCTGACTATTCACCGTAGGGTCAGTGAGAGGGTTCAGTGTAGAGAAAGTGCTTGCTGCTAGGCCTGAAGACTTGAGTTCAATCCGCAGGATCTGTGTTGTGGAAGGCGAGAACTGACTCCTGCCAGTTGTTCTCAGACCTCGGCAGGTATATTGTGGCATATGTACACTACCCCTCCCCCCACGCACACACGAGAGAGAGAGAGAGAGAGAGAGAGAGAGAGAGAGAGAGAGAGAATAAAAAATAAATACTGATTGTGACATAAGTAATATATATATAGTAATTTATGGAAACATCTCAAGATGGACTTGAGGTGTTGAGTTCCAAATCTAAATGTAATTTTAAGAATGTTAGAAAAATTATAACCAGAAAGAATAATCACACACATACACGCACAAGCACACAGATCCCAGATATTATGTTTTCTCAATTCTTTTGTTTAATTATTTATTTTTAAGGGTATGTGTGGTGGGGGTGGGGGATGGGTATGTAGTGCTTGCAGAGGCCAGAAGAGGGCACCAGACGCTCTGGAGCTGCAGTTGTATGTGGTTGTGAGCAGACCAGCATGGGTGTTGTGAACTGGACTGGGGTCCTCGGCAAAAGTAATACATGCGTTTAGTAGCTAAGCCATCCCTCTAGCCCCTCTTTTTTTCATTTGGTCTCCTGACAATTAAAAGGCCACATTTGTGCTCTCCTCGCTTGTTTGGAATGTGTCCTTTAGTTGAGTGATGTTCATAGCTTTAAGATATTGTTCAACCTGCTACATTTTGCTGAGCCACGATATTTTAACACTTAGCCCATTTTGTGTGGCTATCACAGACTATTCAAGGCTGAGTAACATAAAGCATAGAGGACTATTTGTCTTTGATTCTGGTGGCTGGAGGATCTAAAATACATCTTGCCAATATCATGATAAGGGTTCTCTGACTGCATAGTGTGGCAGAGAAATGGAAGG